CCCCCCATCGCAGCTCTCCAGTCATAGAAATGCATGCAAGCGGATCGAAAGGCCCGCCGCTGCTCGTGCAGATGAAAGATCGCGTTGCGAGCGTGCTCGCGAGTCTGAAGAGTGGAAGAACTCGCGCACAAACGAAACGACAAGGTTAGCTAGCTTCGCGCTCGCCCCCTCTTCTCTATTGCGTGCGAGGTCACGTCTTGATGATATATAAAATGTAATCATTCGTGTCCATCGTGAGCGGCAAAAGGTCAAAAAGGTGTGTACAACAGGTCCAGGCGGAGGATCAGGTGCGCTGTAAATGACGCCGAGATCGCGTTTGGGGAGCCTTGCGTCTGGCACTGCGAGGTGGAGGAGGTGGCAATACGTGCCTCCACACATCTCGTACGCCGTATGGGGCGTCTTCGGTACCTCCAACGTCGATCAGAGAGCTCCGACAACAAGCAGAGCACCGGCACCGGCTGCCAAGAAGCTCACGGCGGTCATGCCGAAGCCAGAAGGGCTCATGGCGATGGCTCCATCGCCGGCTCTGCTGCCGGAGGTAGTAGGCGCTGCACCGCTGGCCGTGAGGATAGAGTTGGCCTGCGAGACGATGGCAGCAGCGGACGAAGAACCGACGGCGGCGGCAAGCTCGGAAGATTGCGCGTTGACCACCGACGACACGAGTCCAGGGTTGGCCGACTGTCGCAAGGGATGGCCGGGATGGTAAGCGCTGTTCAGTTCAAGTCTGCTCGCAAAGCCAGAACCGCCAGGCCTTTCACTCGCCCCCACCTTCTTCCCACGCTGGAGAAGGAGCTGAAAGCGCAACTCACGTAGATGCTCTGGATCTGCGAAAAGATGCTGGGATTCTCGGACGTGAACTGGGCAATGTTCGAGAAGCTTTCGAAAATCTGTCCCCCGAAAAGAGGAGCAACGTGCCATGTTCAATTGATCAGCTGCGATTCGGCAAAAGGGAGAAGGACCTTTGCAAAGGTGCGCGCTCACCGAGGGGTCGATACCGCCCACTGCAGGGATGCTGATGGAGCTGAGGTCTCCGAGACCGCTGGTCAGACTGGCCAAGTCGATGCTGCTTGCCAGCGTTCCCTGGCGAGCCTCGAGCTTTGTTTGGCGATGGCAAAGGGGGAGGAGAGTGGTAGGCAGGCAGGCAAAAGGAAGTGTTCGTCAGCTCGCGCAAGTCTGAATGCGAGTGCATCCTTCTGCGTTTCTGAGGGCGTGCGATGTCCCCACCTTCCTCCTTGGCTTTGCCGTCCTTACAGTCTTAGCTCCTCCAGTTTGCAACCAGACCGTCGCCCGCTCCACAAGTCCACAGAGACTCCTCCTCCATCATCTTTCTCACCTTGACAGCGGGCGCTGCCGTCGGGGCAGGCGCAGGGCCAGCAGCGACGGAAGCAGCGACGGAAGCCGCAACGACAACGATGGCGGAAGCAGAGAACTTCATCTTGGGGGCAGAAAAGTTGCGCGAGAGGATGTGTGCTTGGGGAATAGCGGATGGCAATCGCGTGCGGGAGGGGGGGGGGGGAAATGTTCAGGTCGGAGTCGTGAGCGAGGAAGGGAAAGGCGCAATCTCAACCAACGCAATCTGGCTCTCGCGTTCTTTATACGCAGTGCGACGACCCCTTCACGACGCCATGCGGAGCATGTTGATGCCGTGCTTCGGGCACATGCACGACCCAAGATTCCGGCATTTCGATGGGCTTACACTCGGCTGCTGGCTGGCCGTTGCTGCAGCTGCTGCCAGCGCCCATGCAGAATGTCCCGCTGCGCATGAATGTGTGCAAGTCGCAGCTAGGCTCGCATGCAGGTCGCTGGTGAGTTGTGATGTGCTTCTGCTGTGCGAGCGCCTGGCTACGGGTGTGGTTTTGGCTCTGCATGACGAGCATGACGCAAGGAGCGTTGCGTTGCGCTGCGTTGCGTTGCGTTGCGTCGAGCAGAAGGTACGGTGCAGCCTCTCGATGCTGCTTCGCGAATGCAGTCGTGATCGAGTCGTGAGTGCGACGCAAGTCTGCGCTGACAGCAGCAGCAGCACGCCGAGAGAAGATGAAGATGTATGCAAGGCACCGCATTCGTCATTTGGCACCTACTGTATACACGCTAGCTCGCACAGCCCCACCTGCACAGCTACTCTACTAGTAGTCTGAGTCTGAGTACGGCCCTTTTCTCTCTTTTGGTGCCACGCCATACAATCCCGATCTCGCTTGTGCCCTATAGCTGCGAGCCAAGGCAAAGCGCGGGTGCAGTGGCAGTGGCAGTGGCAGTGCAGCACGCCACGCTCACTCTGACTGCATATGTTAGATGCTCCACGCATCGAGCCATCAGAAAGAAGACTCGATCCTTCACTCGTGACTGCGAGAACATGATGGCGAGTTCTCGTCGGTGCGGGGCTTGTCTGATGCGACGCCTCGATGCAGTTCGTGAGTCGATGAATCGATCGATGATTGCTCCGACTTGGCCCGTAGGAGTGCGGAGCACAGCCGCTCGACGACGACGATCACGACGACGACGACGACGACGACGCCTAGCTGCATAAATGCAATGCAATGCATGCATGTGTGAAGTCTTCGTCGAATCGACGACCAGGCGCGGCGGAGGCGAGGGAGTCTTTGCACTCACGCGTCTGTGTACAGCGAGAGCTACGAGTCGATGTGAATGACGAATGACTCACATCATCACTGAGCCAATAATATACATGTCGGTGCACGAGTCATCCCTATGCTCGACAAGAGATCCCGCTGCACAAGCAAGACCAGCAGGAGCTTCGCGTGCAGCAAGCAGGCTCACTTGTCCCCCTTTTTCGCTTCACGGAGACATTGAAGTGTGCTGCTCAACACGCACGCTTTGTCGGTGATTGAAACCCCTTCGAGCCGTTTCGCATCAGCCAGCCGCGAGTGGGAGAGACCGTGATGTCGAGCTTAGCTACTTCTGAATCCGTCATTCACGTGATTGTATGCTCGTATTCAAGAGACCAGCCCCCCCCCCACTCTGACTCTAACTTTCGGAGCGGCACACGCACATTCATCGTGCAGTCATGAGTGCGCTGTCCGCAAGCGAAACTCCTGCTTACAAGCTCACCACACGAATCCAGAACCCAAGATGATCTGTTCTCATCAGCTCGTCGTGAGGCAGAGATGTATGTGCGCATGACAGCTTGCCGAAGCAAGGCCGCGGTCGAGAGGGTGATGAAGCAGAGGGCCTCGCGTTCTCGCGTTCGCTCGAGCCCATCGGGCATACCATCACGTGATGAATCTCTGGCCGGGGCTGTATACGCGCGCGCGCTCTTCGGCAGCTGGAGTTTACCCGCGGCGCAAAAGGAGCAAGCAGTCGCTATATATATATATATATATATATATATATATGTTTGGATTGAGTTATATACATACGATTAGACTGCAAAGCCGCGCAGTGAGTGAAAGGTGACATCGTGAAGATACAAACGACTGCGACGTTTCTTCTCTCCCCTCCATGCTCTTTGAAGGGAAAGGAGCTGGAAATGTAGGACAGCATGGACTACAACATTGCCGCGAGATGTGAGCCGTGGGCCGGAGAGACCAATTCGTTGTGCCATCATGCAAGTCATGAGACCGAACTCAACCAGGCCCATCATGACCTCTCTATACGTGAGGTGGACCAGTGGTGAGTGAGAGTCAAATTCTCAAGAGCAGATGGCGATCGCAACGATTCAAAGTGTGCGTTGCGTGACGTGTATGTATAGATCCGCTGACCCATGTACGCGGTCCATTTGCGTCCACGTCGAAAAGCAGCTCGCGCGGTGCAAGCAACCACTTATATATACGGGATCGAGCGCGGCTGCGCTATAGCTATAGCTGCCTCCGACTGCGTGGCTTGTGCGGCAGATTCGCCGTCGATGCAGCAGCTCGCGCAGTCATGACGAGTACGAGTGCAATTAAGTCGATCGTGATTGTGGCGCAGTGGCGCGTCCGACCTAGCTGCATCATGCCATGCCATGCCATGGGGTTCAGCGGCAGCCCCCCGCCCGCCCGCCCGGCCGGCTGTCGGTTGATGGCTTTATCCGAAGCGGTCAACTTGTACTTGCACTTGCGAGGGAGGAGATGGGGTTGCTCACTCCTTCCATGCAACCAATTAACCAGCACCGCACCTCAACACCCGAGCAAATGCAATCGATCGCATCAGCCATAAATTCGCTCAACGCCGTGTGCACGCATCTCCCCCTCCTCCTCACAACGCCAACTCCTACCAAACGCAACGCTACGCTTTCTCTTCACTGCGGCCTTCTCAACAACATCTCATTCCAAGCGTCTCTCCTCCCGCACACAGCCATCCAAAGCATGTCTCAGAACACCCAGATCATCCTTCGGGAGCGCCCAGGCATTCAAGGAACCGTCAATCCTTCCTTGGAGTCGGGCACCTTTGCACTTCAGAAATCACCCATACCTACAGAGAAGGATGTGCCTGATGGATCGGTGCTGATCAAGGTCAGATATGTATCCATAGATCCGGCCATGCGCGGATGGTGAGCGGGTCGAATGTGCCCATGCTGTGCGTAACGTGTCGGGGGGAGGGCAGCAGCTGATGGATCGGGGCCGCGTACATGCTGCCACTTTTTCAAATTGCAAAACAGGCTCAACGATACTCGAAGCTACTTGCCACCGGCAAAGATCGGAGATGGTGAGTGCTGGCTTTAGCCTCTACAAGATGGGGGTGTGCGCGCTCATCGTCTGCACCTCCTTACGCTTCCACCCCCCTCGCGACCCCTCTTGCTGCGCATGCCACGCAGTCTTTAGATGCGCAGCATTAGGAGAGATTGTGCACTCCAAGTCACCCTCTTTCACCGTGGGCGATCCCATTGCCGCTTCTACGGGCTGGCAACAGTACGCCATTCTTCCGGCCAAACTGGTCGAAGCTGCGCCCGCTAAAAAGGGAGCCGAACTGATCGATTACCTGGGCGTCTTTGGCAGTTCGGGATTGACCGCTTACTTTGTGAGTCTGGGGATGGTGCGCCTGTACGATGGGGGGGACGCTGGGTCCCTTGGAAGCTGTCCTGCGCCCGCTACACTGCTGAGGTACGAATCGCTCTACTGCCAACTGTACAGGGCTTGTTCGAGGTTGCCAAGGCTAAGCAGGGAGACGTCGTCGTGGTGACTGGTGCAGCTGGAAGTGTAGGAAGCATCGTGGTACAGCTGGCCAAGATCAAGGTGAGCATGGCATCCTCGAACATCAAGCAAGCATACACGTGTAGAGCGATCTGAGTCCCCTCTCCTCTTCATCTCGCTTTGCAGGGCTGCACGGTCATCGCCACTGCGGGATCAGACGACAAGGTCAAGTGGCTAAAGGAGGAATTGGGCGCCGACGATGCCTTTTCCTATCGCTCACCCACATTCTTTCAAGATTTGCGAAACTGCATCGTGAGGAAGCACAAGTTTGCGCATTGCGTCTTTGATAATGTGGGAGGAGCGCAGTTGGACCTGTTGCTGGGATGCTTGAGGAAACATGCGAGGATCGCGCTTTGCGGTGCTATCAGCGATTACAATGGGGTGACGAACGGATTGAAGAATTACTTGGCCTTGATTGGTCAGAGCGCCACGATCCAAGGCTTCATCGTGTTTGACGTGAGTTCTTGCGGAAGCGGAGCGTAACTTTCGCATTTGCGCTTGGCGCTCGCAACCAGCTTTTTGCACTGCTGCTGCTGCTGCTGGTCTGCCCATGCTGACCGCCACGCCCCCCGACGCCTCGCCACAGTACGCCGACAAGTACGACGCAGCGAGGACAGACTTTGCCAAATGGTTGGGAGAGGGCAAGCTGAAGAGAAATTTTTACACTAGGGAAGGGCTCGAAAATGCTCCGCAGGCCCTCATCGACCTGTTCAGCGGCGTCAACAAGGGCAAGATGGTCGTCAAGGTGGCCTAGGGGCGGTTGGTCGTATCGGGGTAGCAGATCAGTCTCTCTCTCTCTCTCTCTCTCTCTCTCTCTCTCTCTCTCTCTCTCTCTCTCTCTTGCGCATGGGCCAGACACGGCAAAAAGACTTGCCAAGTCATTGGTAAAACAAAGCAGGCCCTCCATTCGTGTTCATTGTCCAACGCCTCCTTTTTCGCTGAACGCTCGGAGTGCGCTGGGAATGGACTGGCACTGCGTGCGAGCTATCAGACGTTGGCCTTCCCCCCCCCCAAAAGTTTTTCCCCGCCACCCACACCCCCACACCTTCCGCTTTTTTTTCGCGCGTGCGTTCCCGCTATGCAACACCAATCGACTCGTGACTGCAGACGTTGCGCGCTCGCTAACAAGATGATTTCGTGTGTAGACGGTGCAAAGAGCATCATCTGCGGGAGTGTCGTTGCGCAGCAGGATGGGAACGGTTCTGAGAATGGTTCGAAAGGAAGCCCGCGGTGGGAACGACGGGGGGGAGGGGGGCGGCCAGAAGATCTGAGATGAGGGCAAGAAGGTCGAATGCGAGGGCTCACAACGATGGGATTCGAGCATAAGCTAGAAGGACAGCGACGCAATCGGGCCCGAGCGCCAGCGCCAGCGCAACTAGCTTTCTTGGAGAGAGCCGAGCCGAGCCGAGCCGAGCCGAGCCGAAGCCACTCCGCGATGCTTCTCTCTCTCTCTCTCTCTCTTTCTCTCTCTCTCTCTCTCTCTCTCTCTCTCTACTCGCTAGCCCGCACACGCCTAGCCGTTCCAATGACGGTAGAGTTGACTTTGGAAGCGAACCTGAGCGAGTTGATCGTCTCGTTGAGGTGCTCCGCCATGGGGCTGATGGCGAGCAGCATGAGCGTTTTGGAATTGCCTCCGAGGGAATTCTTGAGCAACCAAGTGAGCGTAGAGTTGCGGTAGGGTACGTGTCCGCCCGTCTTTGCATTGCCGAGCGCCGTGATGACTTTTGCAAATAACGTACACAAGGCAAAAATTGTCAGCACAGGGCCATGACTATACGGTAGCGAGGGCCCGGCTTGCGTACTGCGAGAAGCTACCAGACACACAGCGCAGCGTCGCTACTCACCATCGTTCAAGCTGGAAAGCGACTTGTTGATGCTCTTCGTCTCCGTGAAGCGTACCGGATCCTTGTCCGCCCCGCTCGCATTGACCCTTTCCGAACCCGCCAGGTCGACGAGGGATAGAGTAGCATCGCAGCTCTCGCCCGTGAGCGCATTCGCGCCCTTTACGCGCAAGATGAAGACGCAGTGAGATCGAGAGGATCGTTCATTCATCAGCGTAGCTGCCGTCTGCCTTCGACTTTTGGCTTTGGCCAATAGCGTAAAGACTTGACTCGGCGACTCTAAAGGAACGACGATGGTATCGGACACGAACGTGCGCATCTTTTCGTGCTTGATCTCGTGCTTCATTTCGTTCCGATTGCTGCCGCTGCTGCTGCCCGACAATTCGTGCTTGCCCAAGAGATCGTTGATCTCGTCATTGTACTGCGAAAAAGTGGATCACAGACCAAGCAGTCCGCATGGTATGACTTTGCGTCAACACACCGGACCGCGCCTGCCAGCCAGCCAGCCACAACCCTCGCGCGCGCGCGCGCGCGCGCACTCACAATTTCGAGCATCTGGCCTTCGAACTCGTACCGCCATCCCTTGGCGCGCAGATGCTCGGCAGTGGACCACAACATCTGCACGGCTCTAGGGATCAGACCAGCCTCGGGATCCTGCGTTGGAACAGCCGCGGCGCCCAGGTGCAGATTGGCGCTTCCTTCAAGCGAATGGGTCTTGCCAGATCCGGTCTGACCATAGGCAAAGATGCAGGTATTGTAGCCATCCAGCACGCTCTGCGTCAGATGCGCCACCTCTTCAAACACGTCCGACTGCGTCGCGCTGGGTTGGAAAACCCTGTCGAACCTGAAAGCGTGCGTCTTCATGGTCGCAGTCCCCACAGCGCTCTCTCCAGCGGCCAACAGCTCGATGGAAGCAGCTTCGCGCGGATCGGGAAAGTGGATGCTGGCCAAACCGCTGCTGCTGCTGCTGCTGCTGCTCATCTCTCTCTCTCTGGGCAGCTGAGGTCTGACGCGGGCAAATACGCGGATATTGCCTCGCAGCTCTTGCACCTCGTTGTGCAGCTTGCGTCGAAGCGTCTCTGCCGCTCTGAGCTCCTCTTCGATGCGAGCGGTGGATGAGCGCAATTGGACCGCTTCTTCTTCCAGACGAGCAATGTCTTGCTGTTGAGATTGCAACTGTCGATCCTTTGCGCTCAGCTTGCTCTCCAGCGCCTTGCACTCGCTCTCCAGCGTGTCGCGCGCATCATCTCGCTCGCTCAAGTATCTCTGTACGCGCGTGAGCAAGTCGAACGATTTAGAGCTCCCGCTTCAGCGCTCGTCGAAACACACGCATACAAACGCAGCGCGCTTCACTGACCTTGTGCCTGCTCAGCGATTCTTGCTCCCTCTCCAACGCCTCTTCCAGCTGACGAACTTGCTTTGCATGCTTGGCTTTCAGCTTCTCAAGCTGTGCTCGAGTAGAAAGGGCAGTCCAGCAACGAGCAGAGGGGTGAGTGCAAGTCATCGCAAATAACGCGTACGCGCACGCGCACCCTAGCAACGCTCACCTCTTCGGCACCAACACCATCCGCTGCAAGCGAGCGCACGCCTTGAGGCAACTTGGCTTGCTGCGCTTCCAACGCCTTCACCTTGTCCTCCTGACGCGCCCTCTCTGCCTGTTCGCGAGCCAACAGCTCTGCCGTGTTTTGTCTTTCCCTCTCAAACAGGTCCTTCATCGTGGTGAATTGATTCTCCAGCGCGCTCATGCGGCCCTACCCATCAGCATGTGCGAGGAGAGGCGCGGGGAAACGTTGTTGTCAGTCACAAAGGGTTTGTCGGCGAGAAGCGCCGCTCAGACTCACGCCGCTTGCACGTCTTCCACCACCCGTCACGCCTCTGCGCCCAACATTCACCGCCACTTTTCCCTTTGGCGACATTCCGCTCACTTTGCGACCCACGCTGGCTTGTCGGGCATTGATGACGCTCAGAGGTTGTCGAGGCAAGCTGGGAGCAGGCACATCCCTGCCCATTGCGGATGTCGCACCTCGACGAGCTGTGGTGGAGGATGGCACGCGGGTGGCGGAAGGGGGCCGAACGTTGGAGGTGCTTGGTATGCGCTTGACCGATGGTTCGCCAGCTCGGGGCAACGCTGTTGGCTTGGGGCCTCGCGGCAATCGGCTTTGACCACTCGAGCGTCCCGCATCCACGTCCTGCCACGGCGACGGCGATGGCGATGGCGATCAAGCAAGAAAGGAGGAGGGCGCGACATGAGCCAAATGCAGGCGTGTCGAATCATCGTCTGCAAGTGTGCATCCGACCAACTCACGGAGGAGCTCATCGCGAGCTTGTGTTTGTGATGATGATGATGATCGACTAAGCGAGGTAGAGTGTCGCAAGATGCAAGCGTGCGTGAGGCATGCGGCTTCCGAGCTAGTCGTTTCGCTGTACAATGTCTGCGGGTGTGGGCGCGGAGAGGCGAGGACCGAGTGTAGGAATGAAGGTGAATGGTAGTCGTCCCTGTTGCATCAGTCGGTCGATCTTCGTGCCGGTGGTGAGAGTCACGAGTCACAGTCTTTGTTGATCCGACACTCCAAAGCTTCAAGGATGTTCGGGCCTCGCTATAGCTGCTCTGCTGCTTGCTCGAGTGGATTCTATCCAAACCCCGCGCGCGCCTGCTGACTGCGACTTATGGAACTCGATCGATCGAGCAAGCTAGGCAAGCCAAGCAAAGCAAAGCAACACCGCCAACACGCATGCCTCGCTTCATCGCGCGCGCCTTGCTTGGAGTCTCGCATCATATCCAACGCGCGCGCGCTCGTGTGGTCGCGACGAGTCACGTGGTATCACACTGCTCTGCAGCGATCCACGTGGCTTGCGTCTTCTTAAGCTTGGCGCGATCGACGGACTGGAGGGCTTCTTGGTGAAGAGGAGGATGAAGAGGTCAAAATTCCATCATCGTCGTCATCTTCCAACGTCGTAAATGCCGTTGCACCTTCCAGTCCACACAAGCACACACTCGCACACTTGCTCACGCACCTCCCTTCTCGCTAAGCTGCACATTGTCCATACACAGAGACAAGATGGCCAGCTCGCTCGCTTCCACTTCGAGCCGCGGTCTGCTGACGACATGTTCCGCACACGCACACCCGCTCAAGAGCAGTCGCAAGGCATTTGAAAAGAGCGCGAGCGCTCGGATGATGGCGCGCTTGAATGGCGAACGATGCAGATCCGTGTCCACCCAGGCTGCAGGTCTTGAATCGGCCGTGGGATCCGAAGGACCAGGTGCTCACAGCCTCGCTGCCGAAGCGCAAACGCCTTCTTCACCTCGTGGTGCGCTAGAGAGGACTACTCAGGGACAAACGGAGCCACAAGATGCAAAGCTTCAAGTCAGAAGCTCGAGAGGTGCAGGTCAAAGCGATGCTTCGTTGGATGCGCACAAGGCTGAATTGAGGAGGAAAGCGCTAAGAAGCGCTGCTGGTGAGTTCCGAAGCCTCTCGGAGCGCTTACGTGGGCACACCGATTCAGCGGCTTCCCCCATTCGCATTCATGGCCCCCGTCAGCATCGTGTCCACCCTATGCTCACATTGGCTGCACACTTTTGCCCGTCTTTTCGCAGTGGACGCAATGATGCCTTTGACTTCCACTCAAACGCGTCAAACGGGTTATCGACCGGTCCAAGCCCGACTCTCGCCCGTGACGGCGAGGGAGTTGACGCTGTCGCACTTGGTCGCCGCTTCTGCTCAAGTAGGCCACTCTCGGGCAAACACGTCTCGACAAGCTGCTCAGCAAGTTTACGGTTTCAGGCACGATATAGCCTACATTGATTTGGAAAAGTACACTCTGCCCGCCCTCAGACGAGCGGCTAGCGTGGTGAGAGAGACGACAAAGAGGGACGGTGTGGTGTTGTTTTGCGGAACGGCTCCTGGAACGCAAGACGCCGTGCTCGCTGCTGCTAAACGGTTGGGAAGGAACGGATTTCACGTGACAAAGAGCAGGTGGATGCCTGGCGTTTTGACCAATGCGCCCAACCTGCTCGCCAAGGCTACGTTGATGGGAGCGGATCACTACTCGGAGACGTTGCGCGACAGGGCGGAGCGCAAAAAGGAGCGCCAGTCGGAGGGGTGGACGGACAAGGATGAGGCGGAGCTGCAATCGCGCTTGGATCTGGTCAGGTTGTCCATGAGGGAACTTCAACCTGATCTATTGATCGTCTTGAACCCCAAAGCTAATCTTCACGCTATCAGGGAGGCTACATCTAGGGGTATCCCCACCATCGGAGTCACGGATACGGATGTGGATCCTAGGATCGTGACGTACGCCATTCCTGCCAACGACGAGAGCACTAGAACTGCAGAATTAGTGGTTGGTCTATTGAGCAAGGCGGGACAAGAAGGATTGAAGGATAGGGAATTAGCTCAGAGGGTGGCGGAGAGGATGGTGATTCAGCGCGAGGCGCAACGTAGGGAACAACACAGGCTTACAAGGGAATCGGAAAGGATCGCGAGGGAACAGGCTAAAGCTGCCACGGCTTTTGGTGGAAGGTCGATATATGGCAATTAGACGCGACGATGCGGACCCCTTTCTCTCGCTCGTGGGAAATTACACCATTGCAAAGCCAGTCTCGGGGCGAGCGTGTGCGTGATCGTGTTTCGAGGTTTGTGATTGCGACTTGTATATTGTAGCGATACATGTGCGTGCCAACCACCGTCTGTTTTGCGCTCGCTGCGCTGCGTTGCGCTCAAGGATCAGCAATTCGACCGGTCTGGGTGAAGGAGACGTGCCCAATGGGAATTGGATCAGCATGAGCGAAAGTACGATTTGGTAGGGGAGAAAGAAGCAGCGCGTTTCTACTCACGCCTGCATCGCGAGTGATGCTACCGTCATGAGCGCCAGTGCCAGATTCCGTTCCTATGCTGCGTCCCACGGTATCCAACAGTTCGTCTTGACGACGATTGCCGCTCATTGTGAAATCACCTTCGGCGGATCGATTGGCAGCGTTGTGGGCACCCGAGGCGGCGCTGCTCCTCGCAATGGCTCCGAGGTCGGCTGCACAAGCGCGAGCAAGTCGACAAGTTGCGGAATTGCAGTCAGTGAGAGTGAATGAATGGAGCAAAGTCACACGCATCTGAGCGTAGCGTAACCTATTTCCCGTCGGCCCCTCCCGCGCGTGCGCCAGATACTCACGAGCATCGCTGCCTTTCCATTCCTCGTTGCGTTCCTGTTGCAATTGTTGCCTCTCACCTCGAGAGGGTTCCTGCACGCCAGCATCCGCACCGCTATAACCTCCAAAACCCAATTGTCCAGCATTGGCATGCGCTTCGGTGCCTGGAGGAAGCACGTCGCCCTCCTTGATAGCTTGAGCGCGCTCTCTACGAGCATCGGCTTGTCCGCCAATCTCGGTGCCTAGGATCGCCGCTCCGGACGGGGCGGTGTTGCCGGCTTTGTTGGGACCCGATTGTCCACCTGGAAGACTGTGGGAGTGTCTATCCTGCGCCGCCTCGCCCTGGGCGTGTATTTCCATTTCGATCAATTCAGCTCACGAGACTGTTGCGCTTCTGCTGCCCTCCCCCCCCCTCATTCAGGCTTTGTATCCAGCACACCTACTCACGGGGTTCTTGGGCAGAGTGTCAGCGTACGTCATGTTGAGCTATGCTGGGGTGTAAGCGATGAGTGTAGTCTCGTGTGAGGTATAAGACAATGATGAGGGGGCCAAGAGGAACGGCCTGCGGTAAGATTTGATTGCCTTCTTATAGGACGATCGCCGTTCACCTGTGCGGCATCTCCACATGCTCGTCGCGCGATGGAAGGGTTCGCCCATTGTTCTTCTGCAAGCGATCACGCAATGTCCATAGCGCCAGTGACGGGATGAATACAAACACAAATTCCAATTCACGCTTCCTCGATCTGGCGGCGCACGAATTTCTCACTGCCACTCCAGTCGAGTCGTGCACTCGCAAGTCACATCGCTGCGGGTTCCGAGGGGGGGGGGG